AACTACTTGGCCAACTGACTGGAAGAGATCCATATTTATACCCATTCCAAAGAAAGGTGGTCCCACAGACTGTGGAAATTATTGAACAATATCATTAATATCGCATGCAAGTAAAATCTCACCGAAGATAATTCAAAAATGGTTACAGCAGTATATTGACAAAGAACTTCCAGAAACACAAGCTGGATTCAGAAGAGAATGTAGAATGAGGGTTATCATTGCCGATGTCGGATGGATCTTGGCTCAAAGCAAAGAACAGCAGAAAGATGTTTACTTCTGTTTTACTGACTATGCAAAAGCATTTGATTGTGTGGATCGTAACAAATTATGGATAACACTGAGAAGAAAGGGAATTCCAGAACACTTAATTGTGTTCAGGAGGAACCTGTACATAGACCAAGAGGTTGTTGTTCGAACTTAATAAGGGGACACTGCATGGCTTAAAATCAAGTAGGGAAGGTGTCAGGGTTGTATCCTTTCACCATACTTATTCAATCTGTGTGCTGAACCAATAATCTGAGAAGCTGGGCAATATGAAGACAAACGTGGCATCAGGATTAGAGGATGACTCATTAACAACCTACGTTATGCAGAGGACACAATTTTGCTCACTGAAAGTGAAAATGACTTGAAACACTTACTGATGAAGACTGAAGACTACAGTCTGCAGTATGGATTACACCTCAATAAAAGAAAACAAAAATCCTCACAACGGGACCAATAAGCAGCATCATGATAAATGGAGAAAAGACTGAAGTTGTTAAAGACTTCTATTGCTTGGTTCTATAATTAACACCAATGGAAGCAGAAGCTAAGATAACAGACATTGTATAGCATTGGGCAAATCTGCTGCAAAGGACCTCTTTCAAGTGCTGAAGAGCAAAGATGTTTCCTTGAAGACTAAGGTACACTTGACACAAACCATGGTATTTCCTACCACCTCATATGCATGTGAGAGCTGGACAATGAAAAAGGAAGACTGAAGAAAAGTCACTGCTTTTGAGTTATGGTGATGGTACCATGGACTGTTAAAAGAACTAACAAATCTGTTCTGGAAGAGGTGCAGCTGGAATGCTCCTTGGAAGCAAAAATGGGCAAACTTCATCTCACCTACCTTGGTCATGTTTTAAGAAGGGATCATTCCCAGGAGAAGGATATCAAGTTTGGCAAAGTGGAGGAACAACGAAAAAGGGGAAGGCCCTCAACGAGATGAATAGACACAGTGGCTCCGATGATGGGCTCAGGTATAGCAAGGATCGTGAGGCTGGCACAGCACCGGGCAGTGTTTCATTCTGCTGTACATGAGGTCACTATGAGTTGGAGATGACTTGACAGCACCTAACAACAACATCCCTGATTATTTGCTCAGCATACATGCTGAACAAGTACGGTGAAAGGATACAGCCATGACGCACTCCCTTCCTGATTTTAAACCATGCAGTATTCTCTTGTTCTGTTCAAATGACAGCCTCCTGGTCTATGTACAGGTTCCTCATGAGCACAATTAAGTGTTCTGGGATTCCCATTCTTCTCAATGTTATCTATAATTTGTTACAATCCACACAATAAAATGCTTTTGCATAGTCAGTAAAATACAAGTAAATATCTTTCTGCTGTTCTTTGCTTTCATCCAGGATGCACCTGACATCAGCAATGATATCCCTTGTTCAACGTCCTCTTCTGAATCCAGCTTGCATTTCTGGAAGTTCTCTGTCAATATACTGCTGCAACCGTTTTTGAATTATCTTCAGTAAGATTTTACTTGTGTGTAACATTAATGATACCGTTTGATAATTTCCACAATCCGTGGGATTACCTTTGGAATGGGTACAAATATGGATTTCTTCCAGTCAACTGGCCAGGTAGCTGTCACCAGTGATAATCAATACATCGTTTGCTCAATTTCAGACTGCAGAAGTTCGTAAAAATCTTCAATTTCCTCATCTTTGGCTTTGGTGGTTGGTGCGTAAATTTGAACAGTAGTAGTATCAATTGGTCTTCCTTGTAGGCATGTGGATATTATGCTATCACTGACAGTACTTCAGAATAGATTTTGAAACATTCTTTGTGATGATGAATGCCATGACATACCTCTTCAATTTATCATCTTGGCATAGTAGATCATATGGTTATCTGATTCAAAATAGCCAAAACTGGTCCATTTCAGTTCACTAATAATGCCTAGGATATTGATCTTTATGCATTCCCTTTCAGTTTTGACAACGTCCAATTTTCCTAGATTCATACTTTGTATATTCCATGTTCTGATTATTAATCGATGATTGCAGCTGTTTCTTCTCATTTTGAGTCGTGCCACATCAGCAAATGGAGGTCCCGAAAACTTTACTCTACTTCACTAAGGTCAACTCTAGTTTGAGGAGGCAGCTTTTCCCCACTCATAACCTGAGTGCCTTCCAACCTAAGAGGCTCACCTTCTGGCACTGTATCGGATAAAATTCCAGGACTACTCATAAAGTTTTCCAGTAATGTATCAGACAATGTTTCACTGCTTTTCATTAGGTTTTCATTGGCTAATTCTTTGAGGATTGGATGGCCTCTTCTAAAATGGGACCTTCTAAAAATTAAATTTTTATGTGCTTCCAAAGACTTCTTCAAAAGAGTAAAAAAAGAACCTATAGATTGGGAAAAAATATTTGTCAATGACATATCTGACAAGGGACTTATCTCTAAAATTTATAGAAAACTCCAACACCTCAACAACAAAAAGACACATAATCCAATAAAAAAAAAATGAGAAGACATGAATAGACACTTCACCAAAGAGAATATTCAGGTAGGCAACAAACACATGAAGAAATGTTCACGATCGATCATTAGTCATTAGAGAGATGCAAATCAGAACAACGAGATACCATCTTGCCCCAGCACTAGCAGCAAAGTTCAACAAGACAGAAAAGAACAAATGCTAGCAAAGATACGGAGAGACTGGGACTCTCATATACTGCTGGTGGGACTGTCAAATGATACAACAACCACTGCGGAAAGCAGTAAGGTGATTCCTTAAAAAGTTGGAATTAGAAATATCATTTGATCCTACAATCCCATTACTAGGTTTATATCCTAAATAAATTAAAGCCAGGACAAGAACAGATATATGCATACCCATATTCATTGCAGCACTATCTATAATAGCAAAAAATGGAAACAACCTAGGTGCCCATCAACAGAAGAATAGATAACCAAACTATTGTACATACACACAATGGAACACTATGCAACCCTAAATAATAATATAGGCTCTGCAAAACACCACCTAACGTGGATAAACTTGGAGGACATTATGCTGAGTGAAATAAGTCAATCACAGAAGGACAAATATTCTATTAGTTCATTACTGTAAAAAGTCAAGGAAATGTTTATAAATAGAAGGAAACTTTCTTTGTTGTTTATCAGGGGTGGAAGGGGAAGAAAGGGAACACGGCAAAAATGGAAAAAAAAAGAGTAAGATTTGAACCTAATTTGCTCCAGTTAGAGCAAATGAGCCATGAGGGAAAGTTGTCCAAGGGAATTCTAAGTTTCCTTGTAAAGGAAAACCATAGGAAGAGACAATCTCATCTTTGTCTCCCTGTTGCGCATGCATCTAAGAAAGTCAATCAGCAAGCAAAATGAGCTAAAGCTCTGGAGGAAACCAACCCTGAGCCTACACTTTGGAATTCCAGTTAACTACAATTTTCTTCTTGCTTAAGGCGGTTTGAGTCTGGTTTTCTTTTATTAGTAGTCAAAACTATCCTAATATAGCCTGTTCTCACTATATTTTTGTGAACATTAGAAAATTGCTTTAAAGCCCTTATTTAACACCATGCTTAGAAAATAAGCAGACAACTCTTTTAGTTATAATAATTTATTACTTCTAGTGCACAGCAGGCACTAGCTACAAGTGGCTATTAAGCACTTGAAATGTGGTTAGTATGAATTGAGATATGTTGTCAGTGCAAAATACAAGAAAAAAATAATGTAAATTCTCAATAATTATATATAACTTTATATGTGAACGACCTAATAATATGATGTAATACAGTTATACAATTAATATAATTATATATAATTAATAACTTTATATTAGTTACATGATAAAATGGTATTTTGGAGAAGGCTGGTGGTTCAAACCCACCACCCACTCCTCAGAAGGAAAGTTGGGCAATCTACTTCTGCAGTGATATTGCCTCGGAAACCCAAGGAGTCACTATGAGTTGGTCTGACTTGACAGCACATAACAACAACAAACCAAAAAAACCTAACCCATTGCCACTAAGTCAATTCCAACTCATAGTAACCCTACAGGACAGAGTAAAACTGCCCCCTAGGGTTTCCAAGGCTGTAAATCTTTATGGAAGCAGACTGCCTCATCTTTCTCCCATGGAGCGGCTAGTAGGCTCAGACCGTCAGTCTTTGGGTCAGCAGCCCAGTGGTTTAACCACTACACTACCAGAGCTCCTTTTCCTACTTAAGACTTCATAATTAACCCTCATCTAAACCCATACGGCAGTGAGTTTGCTTTTTTGGAAACCTATACCCTACCAGACTTTTTCTATTCTTTAAACTTAAAGCTTCAGAGATTGAAAAATTTTCCTGTATCTATCATAAGAGCACCAATTATGTATAAGTAAGCTAAAAGTAGTTTCTAACTATTGTGAAGGTATGTGAAAATTGGAACCTTTCTAAAGGACATTAAAATTATTTAAATTTCAATATATACTATTTGGAGTTCTGGTAGCGTAGTGCCTAAGGCACTTGACTGCTAACCAGAAAGGTGGAGGTTCAAACTCACCAGCCACTCCCCGGAAGGAAGGTTGGGCAATCTACTTCCATAGTGATACCACCTCGGAAACCCAAGGAGGGTTTGCTATGAGTTGGGTCTGACTGGAAGGCACATAACAACAACAACATCATATATTATTTATGTAAGCATATAATGAAAAGTAGAAAATGAAAACACAGCATGAGAATTTTCTACAAAATAACAATTTTTCAGCTCTTACCTTATTGATCTCCTCTTCATATTCTTTTCTCAATTCCCCAGGTATACTTAATACACGAACTGGCTGATAGTCATCAACTGTTTTAGATCAGAAAAAGAATATAATACCATAAGTAACACAGAAATCTAGGGCTAGCTTTGGTTTTCCACGAAAATCATATTGATATAAACATGCAAATCTTTTAAAATATACAATTATTAAGAGCTACAGAAATATCCAACAGCAAAGAGAGAGGCCAATCAGTAAACAGGAAATTTTAACAAATGTCTAGAAAACAAAAAGCTGATAGAAGTAAGTGAAGGAAAATGTAATCAACGGAAGGGCAAGATATAGGGGAAGTGGGAGGCAGTCTGCTTGTGTAAGCCTGGTGAACTGGCTCAGGTCCAAAAATGAAATGCAAAGCCCTCCACAATCTGGCAGTTAGGCATGTTGCTGTCATTGTTAGGTGCCATCAAGAATGACTCATAGTGATCCTATGTACAACAGAACAAAACACTGCCCGGTCCTGTGCCAGCCTCACAATCTTTGCTATACCTGAGCCCTTGTTGCAGGCACTGTATCAATCCATCTCACCAATGGTCTTCCTCTTTTTTGCTGACTCTCCACTTTACCAAGCATGATATCTTTCTCCAGGGAATGATCCATTCTGACAACATGACCAAAGGCGTGAGACAAAGTCAGGCCATTCTCACTTCCAAGGAGCATTCTGGCTGCACTTCTTCCAGGACAGATTTGTTCATTCTTCTGGCAGTCTATGGTACTTTTCTGCACTCTTCACCAACATTACAACTCATACGTATCAACTCTTCTTTCATTTTCCTTATTCATTATCCAGCTTTCACATGCATATGAGGCAATTGAAAATACCAAGGCTTGGGTTAGGCACACCTCAGTCTTCAAAGAGACAACTTTACTCTTCAGCACTTTAAAGAGGTCTTTTACAGCAGATTTGCCCAGTGCAATACGTCATCTTATTTCTTGACTATGTTGATGGTGGAACCAAGTAATAAAAAATATTTGACAACTTCAATCTTTTCTCCATTTATCATGATGCTACTTCCTATTAGTCCAGTTGTGAAGATTTTAATTTTCTTTATCTTAAGGTGTAATCCATACTGCAGACTGCAGTCTTTAATCTTCATCAGTAAGTGCTTCCAGTAATTTTCACTTTCAGCAAGCAAGATTGTGTCACATGCATACTTCAGGTGGTTAATGAGTCTTCCTCCTGATGCCACATTCTTCTTCATACAGTCCAGCTTCTCGGATTATTTGCTCAGCATACAGATTGAATAGTATGGTGAAAGGATACAATCCTGATGCACTTCCTTCCTGATTTTAAACCATTCAGTATCCCCTTGTTCTGTCTGAACAACAGCCTCCTGGTCTATGTACAGCTTCCTCATGAGTACAATTAAGTGTTCTGGAATTCCCATTTTTCTCAATATTACCAATAATCTGTTATGTTCCACACACTCAAATGCTTTTGCATAGTCAATAAAACATAAGTAAACATCTTTCTGATAATTCTCTGCTTTCAGCCAAGAGCCATTTGACATCAGCAATGATATCCCAAATTCCATGTCCTTTTCTGTATCTAGCTTGCACTTCTGGGAGTTCCCTGTCAATATACTCTTGCAACCATTTTTTACTTATCTTCAGCAAGATTTTATTTGAGTGTTTATCAATGATACTTTTCAATAATATCCATATTCTGTGGTATCACTTTTCTTTGGAATGGTTGGCCAGTCAGATGGCCAGGTAGCTGTCTCCCAAAATTCCTATCATAGATGAGTAAGTGCCCCTAGTGGGCATCCGTTTGTTGAAACATCTCAATGGGTATTCCGTCAATTCTTGGAGGCTTGTTTTTCGCCAATTCCTTCAGTGTGGTTTCAACTTCTTCCTTCAATACCATTGGTTCTTGATTATATGCCACCTCCTGAAATAGATGAACATCGACCAAATCTTTTTGGTACAGCAACTCTGTATTCTTTCCATCTTCTTTTGATGTTTCCTGCATCACTCAATATTTTGCCCATAGAAATCTTTCAACATTGCAAGTGGAAGCTTACATTTTTTTCTTCAGTTCTTTAAGCTTAAGAAATCCCGAGCATGTTCTTCCCTTTTGATTTTCTAACTCCAGGTCTTTGTACGTTTTATTATAGTAACTGAATTTTGTCTTCTCGAGCTGCTCTTTGAAATCTTCTGTTTGGCTCTTTCATCTTGTCATTTCTTCCATTTGCTTTAGCTACACCCTGTTCAGGAGCTCTGGCAGCATAATGCCTAAGGCACTTGACTGCTAACTAGAAGGCTGGCGGTTCAAACCCATCAGCCACTCCTCAGAAGGAAGGTTAGGCAATCTACTTCCATAGCGATACTGCCTGTGAAACCCAAGGAGGGGTCGCTATGAGTCGGGGCTGACTGCAGGGCACATAACAACACCACCACCATGTTCAAGAGCAAATTTCAGAGACATCCATTTTGGTCTTTTCTTCCTTTCCTGTCTTTTAAATGACCTTTTGCTTTCTTCATGGATGATGTTCTTAATGTCATTCCATAATTCCTCTGGTTTTTAGTCACTGGTGTTCAATGCATCAAATCCATTTATAGGTGGTCTCTAAATTCAAGAGGGATATAATCAAAGTCATATTTTGTCCATCTTTTCATTATTTTCAGTTTTAACCTTAACTCGCATAAGAGCAATTGAGGGGCTGTTACACAGTCAGCTCCTGCCTTGATCTGGCTGAAGATACTGAGCTTCTCCATTGCCTCTTGCCACAGATGTAGTCTATCTGATTCCTGTGTATTCTGTCCGGCGAAGTCCATGTGTATAGCCACTGTTTATGTTGTTGAAAAAAGTTATTTGCAATGAATAAGTCACTGGCCTTGCAAAATTATATCACACAATCTCCAGTGTTATTTCTATCACTAAGACCATATTTCCAATTACCAGTGAATCTTCTTTGTTACCAACTTTTGCATTCCAATCACCAGTGAAAATCAATACCTCTTGATGGCATGTTTCATCAATTTCAGGCTGCAGAAGTTGGTAAAAATCTTCACTTTTTTCATCTTTGGCTTTGATGGTTGGTGTGTAAATTTGAATAATAGTATTAACTGGTTTTCCTTGTACACATATGGATATTATGCTATCACTGACAGTACTTCAGGATAGACTCTGAAACATTCTTTGTGATGATGAATACCATGCTATTCCTCTTTATCATTTTTGGCATAGCAGATCATATGGTTTTGTCTCAAAATGGTCAAAACTGGTGCATTTCAGCTCACTAATGTCTAGGATATTGATCTTTATGTGTTCCATTTCATTTTTGACAACTTCTAATTTTCCTAGATTCATACTTTTTACATCCCATTTTCTGATTATTAACAGATGACTGCAGTTGTTTCTTCTCATTTTGAGTCATGCCACATCAACAAACGGAGGCCACAAAAGCTTTATTCCATCTACATTATTAAAGGTCGACTCTACTTTGAGGAGGCAGCTCTTCCCCATTCGTAATTTGAATAGCTTCCAATCTGAAGGGCTCATTTTCTGGCACTATATTGGACAATGTTTCAGGGCTATTCATAATGTTTTCCAGTAATATATCAGACAGCGTTTTCATTAGCCATTTCTTTGCGAAGTGGATGGCCCCTTCCTTCTTCTTTCTTTGTCTGGAAGCTCTGCTGAAACCTGTCCACCATGGGTGACCCTGCTCATATTTGAAACACCAGTGGCATAGCCTCATAGCAACACACAAGCTAAACTACTCCACCAGTATGACAAACTGATAGATGAGTGGTGGGCAGTTAGGTATGGAAAAGCATAATGGCCAGTTTTCCATCTGCTTGCCCTCAAAAAATGTTTTCCAGTCACCAATCCTCATCCTTGTATACAGAATTTTTCTCTAGGACCCTATTTTGAAATATAAAAGTAAAAGTAAGGATCACCAGATATTTAAGAGGGGAAAAAAAGGGAGACCAAGATGGTGAAGTGAGTGGTCACTCTCATTTACTCCCCCAACAACTAACCTACTGAACAATGAATGAAAATAAGAACCAACTGAGATCTCAGAACTCCAAACAAAAGGTGAGGTGATGGAGAGTCGGAATGAGTCCAGAAACAGGGGAGATAAGGAGAGGGAATGGTACAGAAGCTGGGAGAACCTACTTGCTAACATCAGGAGCATTTGATCATTGCAGGTATTTTGGGACAGGGCTGGGCAACATCCTGAACAGTGAACACAGAAAGGGAGCTAATCTGAGAAAGCTGTAGTCTGGTTTTTTTTTTTTTAAGGCACTGAAGAATGTCCATGGGAGTTCACAGGCCACACAACTAAGAGGGGATGAAGGGAGACAGTGATGCTGAGAGAATGCTATTGAATTTTGCTGAGGGCTAAGACAGACAGGCACCAGGGATGCCAGAAGTACAAGGGCAAGCAGGGTGAGGGGAATACTTCACACTGATGAGTGACACAGAAGGAAATAGCTGGCTCTCTACCCATGGCAGGACACACTGGGAGAAGCTGTGCAGAGGTACCCATGAAGGAAAAACATAGAGAGTTCCTCACCTGCACCACAGGAAAACTAATCTCCACCACTTAAAGTTGGTATCTGCAACTAGCTAAACCACTCCACCCTCCACCTGCACATGAGTACTGAATTCCAGAGATTCAGCATCTAGAAATCTTGAATCAGCACTGAAAAAAAAAACTAAGGATAACAACGCCCTTCAGTGGTTCTCAAAAGAAGATATCAGGCCCACAGCCACTGGGTCAATTCTGACTCGTGGATCATATGGGGGCAGAGAGGGGTTGTCTTGGTCTTGGAATTACCAGGGCAGTAAGTCTTTGTGGAAACAGGCTGCCACATCTTTCTGCTGTTCAATGGCTGGTAAGTGCAGCACCATCCTTTTGGTTGGCAGTGAGGTGCCTGACCACTGTGCCACCAGAGTACGCAATCAGAAATTTTTTCCCACAAAAACCAGAATACAACATTAAAGTAAAAAACAAACAAACAAAAGGCTCAAGTTCAACAGAAAATAGTAAAACAGAAAATCACAAAAGAAGAACTAACA